GTTTTTGCTAGGACTTTCTCCCTCCCGTTTACTGACCATATCCAGCTGTTAAACTCCACTAATTGCTGGCTGATTGCCCTTTTGTTTTGAACAATGCCCTGGGGCACAAATTGGTCTACAAACAATACAATCAAATTCTGGTTCCTTTGAAGAAATATTTTTTGCCATCAGTGTTTTTTTGTTTTATTTTTGTTTTTATTTAAGACAGGGTCTCCCTGTGTTGCCTATGCTGGCCTCCAACTCCTAGGCTCAAGCCATCCTCCTGCCTGAGTAGCTAGAATTACAGATGTGCACCCAGCCAGTGATTTATTTTTATTCTAACCCCAGAAAAGGTCTTTCTAAATTAATTCATTGGTTCTCTCCTGCAAACTAGCAAACCTACCATTTGGCCTGTTTCATGAATCTCTTCTCAAATGCCCTTTACCACAATCTCCACAACCTCTTTCTTTTTCTTTTTTCTTTTCCCTCTACTCTTCTTGAGAGTACAATCAGGTTTGAACTTCACTCCCTGTTTCAAATGAAGTCAGTTCCTTTGGGAAGAAATTAGGAGCTGTTTTACGGTTTGTTTTTCTCCGCAGGTAAAATCTCAGAGTTAGGGCTCTGGAGCTGGGGTTGGGGACAATAGTAAACTTCTCTGAGTGACACACTCCCACTCTAGGAACTGACAGTTTAGTGGATGGAGAGCGAGGGGGAGGACAGCAGCCTGGGGTCCTCTCAGCTTGCCTCTCCTAGCAGCTTGAAACCACTGTCTTAAGACCCAGGGCAAGAGTGATCTGGGTCCTAGTATTCTCGGCATACCTGATCAAGTTCCACAAGTGGGGGCTGAGTAGAAGAAGAGGCCCCCATCTCTTAACTGCACTTCTCCAGGACTCAGCAATAGGCAGCTGGGGGCAGAATGAGAAATGCTGATGTCCAGATCCTCCTGGGAAGAAAGCTGCTATTCAGATGCTGGAGAGAATTAAGGAGAAGCGACAAATAAAAATTACAGGAGACCACTGTTTTCTAATAAACTTCTGCACTAGGCACCAACAGACCAAACTTAACATCAAAATGGAGTCACTCATGCTAAAGTTCCAAACCGAAAACTAGGTTGTTATCTGACCTGAGAAATCAGGAGAAAGAGGTAACAGCCAATTTCCCAAACAGCCCAGTCTAAAATCTTTAATTGGCACAATGATAAAGTTCCTCTGCTTTAATCCTTAAAAAAAAAGGTAGCCTGAAGTAACCTGATGTTAAGTAATTAGTTAATTTTCTATTATTCTGTTTAAAAGTAAGCAATACACTGTTCAGACTTCTTAACCCCTTCTGTCTATAAGCCAAACTCTTCTGCTCAGCTTACTGAAACACTTATTCTATGAAATGAAATGTTGCCCAATTGTAGAATTGCAAATAAAGCCAACTGGGATCATCAAACTAAACTTGTAATTTTGTATTTTGACAGGAGGAAGCCCTGTGTTCTTGGCTGCAGTAGTCTGGACAGGAACTTTCACACTGCTGACCAGACTTTGTTTCTTACTGAATTTGCACAGATGCTCTTGAATAATGTTCCTTCATTTTCTGTTTTACCCTTAGGATGATTTCCTGAGACTTTACATGACTGGGTTTTGTTTTCTTTAATAGTTTTCACTTGTTTCAGCAAGCAAGGCAAGAAAGCAGAGCTCCTCACACCTTTATACCAGAAGTTGATCTCCCATTCATTCTCTCACATGAAGGCGTAAGGAAGCCCTGTGCTAGAGCTCTATATGTGCGAAACTATAACACAAATATTCTAGATCTTACCTTTTACAGACCTAGAAACTGCGTACCAGAATCATCTAGTAATTTGCTCTAAGTAAAAGTGCAAATATAGGTGACAGAGATCTGATTCAAACCTAGGTCTAAATACATCAAAAGCCCAGGTTTTCTTGAATAAGCCCCTTTCATCTTTTTTACACAGACACTTTTAAAAATCAGAGCTCATGAGACAGTTCTATCCCTGTGCGGGCTCAATAATTTCTTTAGGTAATACACTATTTTCTTCCTCATCTGGATCTTTTATAATAATATTACTTAATAGTATCAATAACATTTCAAATTCTATTGTTATATATTATACAATATGTTATAATACATAATTATAGATTAGTGCAAAAGTAATTGTGGGTTTTGCCATTACTTTCAATAACAAAAGCCACAACTACTTTTGCACCAACCTAAAATATTTTGTTTTTAAAGTAATATTATCAGAAGTGGTATTCTGTTTGTTCATCCCTTAAGGTACATTCACAGGAAGTCCATGACCAAGAAACTTATCTCTCTAATACTGCTTCCTGCTGGGTGCAGTGGCTCATGCCTATAATCCCAACACTTTGGGAGGCCAAGGCAGAAGGATTGCTAGAGCCCAGGAGTTCAAAACCAGCCTGGGCAACATAATGAAACCTAATCGCTATAAAAATTTAAAATTTAGCCTGGCATTGTGGTGTACACCTATAGTACCAGCTACTTGGGAGGCTAAAGCAGGAGGATCACTTGAGCCCAGGAAGCTGGGGGTGCACTGAGCTGTGATCCCATTACTGCACTTCATCTGGACAACAGAGCAAGACCCCAGCTCAAAAAAGAATACATACATACATACATACATAAAATCTACTTTCTTAAAGAGTAAGGTAGATTGATGTGCCCTGTGTTTGGGTCTTTTTTATTACAAACATTAAGATGACATTGTCAGGCTTCTGAGCCAAAGCTAAACCATCATATCCCCTATGACCTGCATGTACACATCCAGATGGCCGGTTCCTGCCTTAACTGATGGCATTACCTTGTGAAATTCCTTTTCCTGGCTCATCCTGGCTCAGAAGCTCCCCCACTGATCACCTTGTGACCCCCCACCCCAGCCCACCAGAGAACAACCCCCTTTGACTGTAATTTTCCTTTACCTACCCAAATCCTATAAAACAGCCCCACCCCATCTCCCTTGGCTGACTCTCTTTTCGGACTCAGTCCACCTGCACTCAGGTGAAATAAACAGCCTTGTTACTCACACAAAGCCTGTTTGGTGGTCTCCTCACACGGACGCCAGTGACAGACATGATCTTTTTTCTCCCCAAATTACCATTGGTTCTCCACCAATAAATATCTTTCTATGAGTTAAAATACCTAACAGGCAGCTCAAGGATTTGGAAGATGTTTGACTTTTTATAGAATAAAACTTGTAAATAGGTATCTTCCAGCCTGAGCAATATAGTGAGACCCCCACCCCCTCCCCGTCCCTACTAAAAATTTAAAAATTAGCCAGGTGTGGTAGTGCACACCTATAGTATCAGTTACTCAGATGGCTGAGGCAGGAGGATCGCTTGAGCCCAGGCAGCAGTGAGCTAGGATTGCACCACTGTATTCCAGCCTGGGCAACAGAGCGACACCTTGTCCAAAGAAAAAACATTATCTAGATACTGAAAGTTTTCTATTTGCCTTTGTGTACATTTGTGATCTTAATTAAGGCAGGTTTATCATAACGTGCCTGGAATGTCAGACCATAGTATAGTCTCCCAATAACATGACTGCTATTTCTCTCTCTCCAGATATTCTCTCTTGTGCTTTCATTTTCTGTTTCATAAATTTCCATATAACCATGCCCTCCCTCCAGGGCATAGCCTTCCCTGATCTCCAAAAGTTAACCAAACTGCCATCTGCACTACTGTTCTCTACTATACAGAGTTTACAGTTTCCATTCTCATCTTCAAAGTAATATGTTGATTTCCCTGTCTGTTTTCCACCAGATTTCTCCACAGAAAGGAAAACCAGTGTCTTAATTGAGTCAGCATCTCCAAGGCACATGACTGGCATATAATTATCATACATACTGAAAGCCTACTATACCTTCTTGACAAACAACGTTATCCTTCCAATCTTGTAATGCTTTCATTTCTTTAAAATAAAGTATCCCCTCCTATACTATATTGAGTATAAATTTCATTCTATCACCATTAGCTTTAACATTAACTAGCCAATTAAATATAAAATTAAGAAATAACGATACCTCTTTTAAAAAGGACTAGCACTTATCCTAAAGATACTTTGATACAAAAACATACTAGATCGCTAGAGAAACTTTAAAACACACACACACACACACACACACACACATATCCATGCCGCCACAACTGAGTAGTCATTAATAAGAAGATTCCATTTTAAAAGTGATTCTATGCTTTTAAATACATTTTTTCAGCATGCAGGAAGGAGCAAATGTTTAAAATAAAAATTAAAAAACAAATTTTAAATTAGTAAGTGCTCATATTGATAAATTTTTTAAAAAATAAGGAAATTAGACAAATAAGGTATATAAAGAAACTTTTTTCTGTAGTTGCCAAAAGAAAAAAAAAAAGACACATCAATTTCGCTTTGGAAGTTTACCCTTTAACTCTACTTGGCTCCATTTATCACTGTTATAAAAAAAACTTTTAATCAGTTTTTACCACCTTAAAAATCAGATTTGTCAGTAACAAAGTTTCTTGCTTATTTCTGACGTTGTGCTGAAGCTAAGTGTGAGAGGCAGAACCCCCAAAATTACAAGAATCATTGAGGGGAATGGTGAACACATAGTAAATAATATAGTTACACCTTATATTTAAACAAAGTTTAAGGAACGCGCTGGGGTGAGACTGTTTGCTTTCAGTGGCTCTTTCTTACACAACAGAGACCCACATACTTGTGTGAGTTCTGTCGCACTTGGTAACCTCAGTGAGAACCTGCAAACTGGAAAGACCCTAAGTCCCACGTTCAGAAAGGATGCTTGTTTTCGGAGATCTTTAATCTCAACTGTCAGCGCCTGACTGAAATAAACAAAACACCTTTGCTAAGGAAACAAATGTGTTGAAGGGATTTTACCAGATTAATCGAAACAAAATGACTTGGTTGATAGAAAATGACAGGACTGAAGAACAGCATCAAGTGACAAAGGCACTGACCAGCTATTAGAGTGTGCTCAACAGCTGTTTAAAGAATGCAATAAGTGTACTTACCAAATATTTCCCCTCCACTAGCATATTCTGTCACCAGATAAATCATCCGTTCTGTCTCCATAACCTGGTGCAAAGGCAGGAAAGTGACAGACAGTGACACAAATGACAGGCTGATATAGGAAGAGAAACTAATGACTCCTCTTTTCTCATTTGAAATATTAATAACCACTACAGATTAAAGAAAATTTAAAATTTTGGGGGAAACAAATATAAATGTTATTAAGAAGAAAGGGAAAATTAGATATTCCTCCAAGTTCTTAAAAGTAGGAAACATTCATTGCTTGAGAGAGATAGTCCTTTTGATGTTCCATGAGGTCTCTGCAATCTCTTAAGTTCCATAAAACTGAGAGGCAAAGAAGTTGTCAAGAACCAAAACTTAAAGTTCAGATTCAACATCAACCATTTGAAGCACAAAAATGCCCCATTAAAAAAAAAAAAAAAAAAGCCTTTGGAGAAAATAATGGGAATCACATTAAGAACTCCACAGAAATCACATATGGCTTTCTTTTTGTAATACAAATGACAACTTTCCTTTCCACTGCCCATTTATTTGTAAAAAAGAGAGCAGTGATTTAAAATACTCAACCTTTTAAAGTAACGCAAGTGATTTGTGTTTTGTATTGGTCCGTTTGTTGCTCCTTTTAAAAATTCATTGTAGTATGTTGTCAGTCCTTTCTTCCTTTTTAGATTTTCCGTCAAACATTTTTAAAAGTAATAATGGCTATGTACACTCATTATGAAACAAAAGACCAAAGGCTTTCCTCTTCCCAGTCTCCTCCATCTCAATCCCCAGAAGAACACTGTTCACTGCTTATTGTATATCTTTCTAGAACAGTGCTGTCCAATAGAAAAATAATACGAACTGCACATGTAATTTTAACTTTTCTAGTAGCCACATTTAAAAAGGAAAAGGTGAAGATAATTCTAATAATATTTTTTATTGACCCCAATATATCCAAAATATTATCATTTCAACAATTATTTTTAAAATTATTAACTTTTAGTTTACACTTAAATTAATTAAACACAATTAAAAATTCAGCTCCAGCCAGGCACAGTGGCTGACGCCTGTAATCCCAGCACTTTGTGAGGCCGAGGTGGGTGGATCACTTGAGGTCAGGAGTTCGAGACCAGCCTGGCCAACATAGTGAAACCCCGTTTCTACTAAAAATACAAAAATTAGCTGGGCGTGGTGGCATATGCCTGTGATCCCAGCTACTTGGGAAGCTGAGGCAGGAGAATCACTTGAACTCAGGAGGCGGAGGCTGCAGTGAGTAGAGATCATGCCACTGCACTCCAGCCTGGGCAACAGAGTGAGACTTCATCTCAAAAATAAATAAATAAATAAATAAATAAATAAATAAAAAATTTTTAAGACCCAGCTGCCAGAAAGCAAAATCAAAGCTTGGAAGAAGCCACTGCTCAAAGCTAGCACTGGACCTACGGAAATTCTCATAGGCTAATCTTGGGGAAGACAGGCATATCTGCAGAATTCGGTTACAAGGGTAATACCTATAAGTCAACGTCTTGAAAAAGGTCAACCTAAGCCCCACAATTATTTAAAGATGATTTATTTTAAAAGGTAAAGTCAAGAAATGTATTGAGTCTATCAGAATAGGAAGGAAGCCGAGGTTAGACACCTATGAGCTCACAGATACAGGTCTTCAGGCAACACCAGGAAGCTTTCATAAGTTTGCTTGTGGGGTAGAACGTAGGCGTTGTTCAACATAATTTAGGCTGATAAATTTCAACAGGTCTGCTCCTGTTGACCTAATTTCATTATGTGAGCAGCTGGTGCCAGGGAAGAGCTCTAATGCTGTCGTTTTAACCACACATATTAACATCACAACATGTTTTCTTTTCCATAAAATTAACAGGCTATGAAAGCTTGCCCGTAGCGCCTTGGGTGTACTTTCTCCACTCTTACACACGGGCCTATGTCTGGGCTAGTAACCATTTACTACAGACTAACAGCAGCAAAATAACTGAGTGGGTGGCCACTTCCTTCAGAACGAAGAGATGGCTGTTCTGGCAGAAAGCAGCAAGTAGAATTGGGCCTATGCAGAGGCAAAGTTTTCGGCTGCCAACACTTTGCAATTTGAGAAGCATCCCGAAGCCCCACCTCTCCCAAAATATCTCTTCCACCAGCCTGCTAAGTCAAGGTCCTCTCCTCCGATTCCGCCTGAAATTCCAGCCATCAGATTTACTGCTTTTGTAGTTAGGCTAGGGAATCATTTTGATGATGGCATAAAATATGCATGTTTCTTGGGAAGACTAAAAAAAAAAAAAAAAAAAAAAACTAAAATAGAAATCTCTCCTCTTGGACAGATCTGGTCTCTTGATCTGGTCTCTTGATTATCAAAATAATTACTACCTTGGAAAACTAAGTCTAGGATCCTATTAGAATAGAAAAGAGGTAGGTTTTGATTGATGCAGGAAGCAATCCTTTGCCATAACAATTTACAACATGATCACAGAAACTAGTATTCAAATAATGCTGTTTAAAAAAACCCTTATATTCATCTCTAAATTTTCACCTCTCTAAATTCTCTTCTTTTTGGACTTCCCATCCTGTTTTAGAATTCTGAACTAAATAAAATAAATTCTCATCATCTTCTGAAATAATCTTTTGTGCAGTTCTTGCTAAGAATGGTATCGAATTTTAAAGAATGAATTAAAAAGACCTACCTGGGTAAGGAAAACTTACTAGTAAACAGCCAGGGGAAACTTGAGGATACTAAGCGCTGAGTGGGTAAACAGAAGGGTAGGAAAGACAGTAGGATTAACATAGAAACAAAAAAAGTCACAGATGTTCACCCACCGACATTTCTTCAAAGGGAGCCATACATACAATATTCTGGGTTCTTTGCAGCTATCTGCTATATACTAATGATCCTACCTGATAGAGCCTGATGATATGGGGGTGGCAAAGCATCTTCATAATTTGAACTTCCCGGAAAATCTTCTTCAAGTTTTCTTCATCGAGCTGGGTCTTATCTATGATCTTGATAGCAACCTGACAACAGAGGGAAAGAATTTACTCTGATGCATTATTAAAAGCAGTTTACTAAGAAAAATTAGGTTCACTTTAAAACATTATGTTCCATAAAATATAAGCTGCCAGTATTTTGTTTACAGAATGTCAGTGAGGAAAATTAATTTACTCTTTTTAAGAAGATAGGAAATGGATTCCTAGCAAGTTGGCTCAAAGGAACAGACTCCAAAAGCTAATGGGTCGTCTGCCATTTCTTAAATTGCTTATATGGTAAAATCCTATGACAAAATACTTCATTACTCCACAGATGTGGTTATGGTCTGGGTCAAAACATGTTTCAGTGCCGAGTGGTGTGTAGGGCCTCTCATTAAGGCAAGAAGCTTTAAAATAAAAGAAATTTTTAAAAAGGCAAGACGCTTATATCATAAGTACATGGTGTCTTACTAAGGTTCTATGAGAACTTTCACAGGGGCTTTTCATGTCTCAACAGGTGCTTGTAGAACTCAACAACAATAATAATAGTAGCAGTGATGGTGGTGGCAGCAGCAGTAGCAGTGGCTACTATATAGGAAATGTTTACTATGGGCCAGGCATAATTCTTAGGGCTCTGCAAGTACTAACTCATTTAAACCTCCTAACATCCACATCATCATTAACCTTGTTTTAGAAATACAGAAACTGAGGCACAGAGATTAAGTAATTAACCCAAGAGTAAGTAATTTATACCTAGTATGTGGCAGATGCAGGATTGAGGCCTAGGTAGCTTGGCTTTAGAATCAAATTGGTAATAATAATGTTATAAGAATCTGAAGATCTTTCTTTAGCATACATGCACTGCGTCATAAAACATATCTTTCCAATGTGCCCCCTTTTAATAAGATACTCATCAGCAAAAACATTTTAATGCAGAATGAAAGACGAAGGACTTTTAAAAATCTACGAAATCTAAACTTCCTCCGTGAAATACTTAAAATATTTATGTTGCTCCAAAATATGTCCATATCTCAGTTTCAATTACCTAATCAGTATGGAAGCAATACTGGTTAGATGAAGAGCCCAGACTAGTCAAACTCTAGTCCTCTCCAAATCTTAACATTCTAAGATTCTATGCACCAGAGAGGTAAAGGGAACATATACAGTACTTACTGAGGGGGAAAAAAAAAAAAAAAAGGAAAACAAAATTTCAAAAGTAAAAATGTTTAGCTCAGAGAAATAAAGACTGTTTGGAGCCATACGTGGCAGATTATTCAGATGTATAAATGACTGGCATAAAAGTAACTTTATTTGAAGTTGCTTCACGTGTTAAAATGAGGACCCATGGGAGAATGGCACAGGGAGATAAATTTCAGCTGTACTTAAACAGCATTCAAGCCATGCCTAATGAGGGAGTGTGATGAAACCAGCTGGGTGTGACTGGAGCTATAAGGATTAATCAGACATAGCCTAAACTTCAAGGAGATCACAGTCTAAAAGGGAAAAAGATGTGTGGAACTGAAAACAATGCAGCATTGGTAGTACGATCAATGGAGCTATGCACCAGATATAATAACAGAACAGAGGATGGTGAATGACCTTCACCTATAGGAGAAAAGGTCGAAAAAGTCTGGGAAAGACTTCACAAAGAAAGCAGAATTTCACTACAGAGAGAACTGGGATAGGCAGAGAAGAAGGTAGAGAATTTAATGAGGATCTCACCAGCTGCCTGGTCTCCTATAAGTCTTGGACCATATAACCCTTGACCACCTCCATTTCTACTTCTCCTCATTACTGCACCCGATCACATACAAGACCTTAACGCCACAACTGGTCTAGCATCTCCTGCTTCTCTCAGGACAGCTCCCAAAACAAAACAAAACGAAACAAAAAATCATGGTACACAATGTCTCTTCCCAGAACAAATAGCTGGGTCTTAGTAGTCATTATTAATAAAATCTTACATGTGAAGGGCACTTGTAGTGTACAGAATGCTTTCATAAATATAACAAGCTTAGAAACTTGCAGACATATCCCCATAGCAGAGGTGCCAAACAGCTGTAATCCCAGCACTTTGGAAGGCCAGGACGGGCAGACTGATTTGAGTCCAGGAGTTCAAGACCAGCATGGGCAACACGGTGAAACTCCATCCCTACTAAAAAATTTTTTAAAAAATTAGCCGAGCATGGTAGCATGTGTCTGTAGTCCTAGCTACTCAGGAGGCTGAGGTGGAAGGACAGTTTGATCCCGGGAGCTGAAGTTGCAGTGAGCTATGATCGTGCCAGCAACGGAATGAGACCTTGTCTCAAAAGAAAAAAAAAGAACTTCCGAACAGGTGCGTTGGAAATGGGTTACAAGCGAAAATGGATCACCTCCAATCTCAACTTTCTGTGCATGCCATGATGTGCAAAAGGTGGGAAGAACTGCCAGGACTTATTTATCTTAATAACAGAGGGCATCAATTGTCTAAGGTCTGTGCCTGAAATCTTCCACCTCTGCCCACCCCCTACTAATTGATGGCATGTACAACGTAACTGGGGAAAGGCGAGTGGCCTTCAAGGTTAACTTACAAAATTTTTGCAGTCTTTCACCTCTAAGAGAGTACTGGATCACAGGGAGTTATATAGCGGGGCCTCCTTGATTCACAAGGCACTCACTCTAAATTTCATTTGTATTCTGAGGCAATAGGACCTTCATAATGGTAAACAGAGATTGTGTGGCTCCCAGTCAGCCACACAATCATGTGGGTAAATAACAATAGAGTGAATTAAATGCATTTCTGACTTACCATATTTTCAACTTACAATGGGTTTACTGGGACATAACCCATCATAAGTCAAGAAATATCTGTACTCACAATAATGCCTTTTGTTGGCTATAATTAACCATAATTTATCACATATTTCCAAATGGCTGAAGGAGATTTGAAATGTTACCAACACAAAGAAATGATAAATGTTTGGGGTAATGGATATCCTAATTACCCTGATTTGATCATTACATGTTGTATCCATGTAGCAAAATATCAAATATACCCCATAAATATGTACAGTAATAAATAAATAATACATACATACATGAATTTTAAAAAGAAATGTATTTCATCTTTTCAGGAAAAATTGCATTGAATATAATCTGTTCTTAGAAGGCACGTACAAAGAAGTTTTAATAGATTAGAACATCAAAATCCTGTCTACTTTTCAGTGAGAGTTCAGATTCCAGAAGACATTGAAAAATGAAGCTTTGGGCCAGGCACGGTGACTCATGCCTGTAATTCCAGCACTTTGGGAGTTCGAAGCAGGAGGATGGATTGAGGCCACGAGTTCAAGACCAGTCTGGGCAACAAAGTGAGACCTCATCTCTACAAAAAATAAAAAAATTATCCAGGTGTGGTAGTGTGTGCCTGTAGTCCCAGTTATTCAGGAGGCTGAGACAGAAGGATTGCATGAGCCTAGGCGATCGCTTGAGCCTAGCAAGGGTGAAGTGAGCCATGATCATGCCACTGCACTGCAGTCTGTGCAACAGAATGAGACCCTTTCTCCAAAACAAAAACAAAACAAAACAAAAAAAACAAAAGTGAAGCTTTACCTAGCAGTTGAATATAGTGTTGAAAGCAAGGACTCTGAAGTCAGGCTACTTAGATTGAAAATCTTGGAACTATCCCTTAATATATAACCTAGAACAGGTTATTTAATTTTTCAATGGCTCCCTATCTGTAAAATGTGGGCAACAATGGAACCTACTTTAAAGGGATGTTGGGGATTAACAAAGCTAATACATGCGACCTGAGTAATATAATGCCTGGCACAGTAAACAGGCAATATATGTTAATTACAGGTACTGCTGTTGTTATTTTATTTTCTTCTGGAATTAAGCCTTCAACTTCAGGCATTCCTTGGCAAGGATTAGATTTGCTTCACTAAGCAACATAATCCTGGATCTGAAACACATCAATTCCTTATTCAAGGGGCAAATTGAGGGACCAAGAAGCAAAACAGCTAACAATTTGTGGGCAGCATTCAGAACCAACTGACTGCCGCCAGCTGATGTGGGAAGAACATGGAAAGAACAGAGCTGGAAAAAAAAAAACAAACGCATTCCATTCAGGAAAGTCACAGTGAGCCATAGGATGGAATCCACAGTAAGACCTGACCCTGAGGGCTGTGCCAGAGAGACAGGGGTCTACTTCTTCACAGCAGGCCAGGCTCCCCTTGCCAACCCTACCTACTAGCTAACACCTGGGAGGAGGGAACTTATTGCTGCTTGGCAATGGCATAACTGCCTGATAAGACCACTTAACAGAGAAAGGAACTCAGCTCCTACCTTAGCTGCAAACTGGAAAGTGGGAGTTTTCTAAAAAGCAGAAAAATAAAGTTGGAACAGAGAAACTGCCAAGTCAGATAGCAGGTGGCTGGCACACAGGTATGATTATTTTGAGAGTACCTAAACAGATAAATGAGTGTGAGTTTTACAGCTACAGATTACTGAAGGCTATATAATAAAGGTTTTGGTGTAAAGTACACACTAGTTGCTTGAAAAATTGAATGTGTCCACAACAAAGAAAAATCAGTAGGGAAAGAAAAGATAAACTCTCAAAGAATGTTTTTATATTGGGGTTGAAAATCTATAAATCTCCTAATTGTACTTACATATGAAAATTATAACAAATAAAGAAGAAAACTTCCAACATGTTACCAAGAGACCATGTATTTCCTCAGTTTGCCTGTTCTACACAGAATTCTTTTATCTTCCAAAGAGCATGATTTTGTAAATTGACATTCTAATACTAATTAAACATCACACTGTGTCAACTATGCTACTAAAGAGATACAGATTGTGAGAGTCCTTAATTTCCCTACTCAAGACATTCCCATTCAACAAATTCTTCTTTTTCAATTGGCATGTGGTAGGAAAAAAAATTAAATTTAGATCATGCCAAATTTAAAGTCATAGTTCTTTATTATTCATTCTATAAAAGGAAAAATTACTATTTCCCCCTTTTAGTTCTCACCTCTAAAAAACACAGTTCTTTTTAAGTCAACTC